GCTTGTGATGTACTTTAACGTTTCTTAAACAGAATTAAAAAACAAAAAAAAAAGTTTTTTCTCTGCCTGGATGGTAGTGAGAACTTGGTAACAGCCCACAGTGTTATTTTTTCTTCAAAATTTCCTTCGTTAATATTTATTTCTAATTCCATGCAGTCTGATAAGTAAATGACCAACTACTTTTATTGGTTGATTCAACATCAGATGGGGGCAGAGCTCGGTGCAACAGCCATCAGCCATCTTGAAGAGGTATCAGACGAGGGTATCGCTGCCATGGCAACATCAAACACAGTAGCTGTGGTTCTCCCAACAACGGCATACATCCTCCGCCTGAGGGCGCCACCTGTTAGGAAAATGATTGATGGCGGAGTGCCAGTGGCACTGGGGTCTGACTTTAACCCGAATGCATTTTGTTTATCTATGGTGAGTGGTACATGTAGTCGGTTGATACAGCCAAAAGAGGCCACTGACACTGGGTTGTATAAAACAAGATACAAAATTGTTCGAGAATTCACGTTAGGTAAGGCTTACCATGTACATGTAGCAATGAGGATGAAACTGTGCTTGCAATTGGGGAATGTTGTCTAAGGAAGCAATACAAAAGTAACAGTCTTGCCTTGGAGGGTGGGAAATGGAAGGAAGGGAGAAATCTTAGTATATAACAAGCACCATCTCAATGACCCACACTGAGAGAACATACGCATAGTTATTAATAAGTACCCAAAAAAAAAATTCAGACGTTTTATTACAAATTACTACTTTAAGTAACATACAGTTTTCTTTTCAATTTTTGTAAATAGTTACGTTTTCATAACTAAAGCAAACTATCTTTGTTCTCAGCCCTTGGTGATGCATCTCGCCTGCGTAAACTTCCGCATGACCATGAACGAGGCCCTGTGTGCTGCCACTCTGAATGCTGCAGCATCTGTGGGGAAATCCCACAGCCATGGCTCATTAGAAGTGGGGAAAGTCGGTGATATGCTGGTGATTAATGCTCCTAGGTAAGAAAAAGCTGAGAAAAGAAAAAAAGAGAGAGATAGAATAAAGAAATCGGAAGGGTTGAGGGAAATTGCCATTAGTGAATCAGCTTCATTTGGACTACAGAATTATAAGGTTGTGCGCAAATGCTTTTAAAACTTACCATGTAGTCTCTCTTCCCCCTCCTCTCTCTCTCTCTCTCTCTCTCTCTCTCTTGTACACAGAAATGTTCCCTTAGAAATGTTAAAACCACAAAATATGATGATTGTAATTTGTCGATGAACACCTGTTGAATTACTTTGTGCTAAATCTCTTTTCATTTGTTTTTTTATTATTTGCCTGTCTCTCTTAAAAATAACCCTCCTGTGCCTGTAAGTGACATATATTCATTGATTCACTCTATATTAACTTATATGATTTTTTGTGTATCAAATGCTAATTTTTAGATGGGAGCACCTTATCTACCAGCTGGGAGGACAAGATCATGTGATCAAGCACGTCATCAGGCGGGGAGACGTAGTTCATTCCAACTAGAAGATATCACAGCATGCCCATGGGAAGGGTGAAGGGGGTGATGAAAAAACTGCCCCTTTGCCTGGAAAAGGTCTGCTCTGAATAAAAAAGTTTGACCTAGATTCCTTGCCAATTATGAAGTTAGATCTACTAAGGGGGTGTAAGGGTCCACTTTTGTCAAAAGTGGAATCCTCTTTTTGAAACTGTTGTCTGCCTGCCTGCAGAGTGATGTTTGCTTCAGACTAGCACGATGTATAGACTACAGGGGCGGATTGAGGCCGTCTTCTGGGTCTTCCGGAAGACGGTCAAATTTCTAAGTTTACATTGATGAGTACTATACCTAATTTTTTCTGTCGGAAGACGGTCAGAAAAATGGAGGATGGATCAACAAAGATAATGTGGAAGACTGTCAGAAAATATCTCTGGATCCGCCCCTGGACTAGACTGTCACAGTGGGAGACAGACATATGAATATGCATAGTGCCAAAGTTAGAGATGAGATGTAGAATAAAACGATGTTGCTTCCATGGCCATTGCTTGCCACCTTATTTACCAGTATTTTAATATTTTAAAATCAGCAAACTGCTTCACTAAATATGTGGTTGGCAAGTATTGCAAATGTGCCAGTAACAGGTACCCTATATCAGGGCCACCGTTTTTTTTTTTTTTTACTAGATATTTACAGATATGTCTCTAGTTAAATTATAGACCTTTCTGCACTGTGAAGGGAATAGGGAGCTTAGTGGAGATCCTCTTTATGTTGAGTGATGTTTGATAACTTCTTATGAAAGAAGGAAATGTGTGTGAAGAGCAGTTTGTATTATTTATATTGAAATGTAAAAGACACACCTAAAACTTTTTGATATAGAATTATATTCAATACATCTTTATTTGCCCCCAAATGGTGATAGACAGGGGCGGATTTAGGCCGTCTTCTGGGTCTTCCGGCAGACGGTCAGATTTTCAAGTTTTCCTTTACGGGTTCTAATTTTTTTCTGTTGGAAGACGG